AACTCAGCGTTCGGTCCCGTTCATTGAACGCGCGTGCATTCCGTTCAGTTTCTGAATGGAAAACCCGCATTCAATGAACGTTCGGTTTCACATTCGGACAAGTACACGTCCTTGTTAACGCTTTAGTGATAGATGTGCGCTCCAATTCTGTGTTGTTAGGATTACCTTGGGCGATGGTGGTAGGTGCTCGTCTGCATTTCGACTGCAAACAACTGGTACTCACGCAAACTTGGGGAAAGCCTCAGACTGTCCCTTTACGGATTTCCACCCGGACAGTAAAACGAATTCCTAATTCGGCCCAAATAGGGATGATTCAAGACCTCGATTCTGAGGAATCTTCTTCCTTAGACATCAGTAGCGGAATCGGGGAACAGGTGTACAAAGAAGAAATGCTTAGTGAGGATGAATGGAAGCACCTGGTCGAACTCTTTGAGCACGAAATCCCCAAAGAATTCCAAGTATGTCCAAGAACCACCCGAAGCTTCCACATGGATTCGGAAGACAGCGCACTTGCACCTCCGGAAACCCGGATCAGTCCTTCAACCCTCCTCGGGGAACCCATCCTGCAGGTATCTGACCTAGAAGATGATTTGGAACCCCCTCGCACCTTGTACGAGGGATCACTTTCCTTACGAGCACGCTACTAACAGACAGAACAATATGTGGATGTTTTCGTGTTCCCTCCAAGATCTTTATTAACAATACGAGCGACCATCGCCTTAATTAAACAAGAGGCCGAAGCACCGGTAGGCGATGTACCCGATCTGATACAAGAAATGGCGGATCTAACAGGACTAACTGTGGAAAAAACAGCGGCCGGTTCAGAGACTGATGCCGAAGCCAAGGAAACCGAAATGATCAGCCCGGCTGAATCGCAGATGATTGCGGCTGTCTTCGCTGTCCGCACCAGTAGTTTCGTTTTTTTCCATTGTCCAGGAGCGACGGGAAAGGCCGGCTGATTGGGTCGACATATCTCTTCAGATCCCTGGACGACCGACAATCTCCCTTCTGAACCACGTCCCCACCGAACTCCGAAAGTCGCTAATTAATGTTTTGAATGGCTACGTGGAAGTATTGAGTGTGCGCGATGATAATATCGGCCTAACTAACGTGATTGAACATGCCATTCTCACGTGGCATCATCCACCCATTAGCTGCATTCCTTATAGGTACTCACGAGCTCAAAGAGCGGCCGCTTTTCAGCGGATGAAAGAATTCGCAGCTAATGGATGGATCGAACCCGCTATAGGACTATGGTCTTTTCCCGTAGTAATCGTACCTAAAAAGGCGGGAGGAATTCGCATTTGCATCGATTATCAAAAGTTGAATGATATCACGATCAAGGATGTGTACCCCCTCCCCCGAATTGACGAGTTGTTGGATGCGATTGGGAGTGCTCGATTTTTCAGCAAGTTTGATGTTGGCCATGGGTTCCATCCTCTTCTTGTTCGAGAAGAAGATCGTCTGAAGACTCTGTTCGTACTCTTCGAAGGTACGTGGAAGTGGATTCGATGTCCGATGAGCATCTGCAATGCTCCCGCAACTTTTCAGCGAGCCATGAATATGGCCTTCCAGAATTTCGTACGGAAGATTCGTCTGGCGCACAGTATCATTAACTACTGTGTGATTGTGTACATGGATGACATTTTGGTGTATTCGAGTTCCTACGAAGGGCACGTGCAACACATCGAATGGGCGTTGCATGCATTACGAGATGCTGGTTTCAAAGTGGCATTCGAGAAGTGCTAGTTTTTCCTTACCACCATTTCCTCCCCGGGACACGTGGTAACAGACCAGGGACTCAGACCAGAGCCGCACAAGGTGGCAGCCGTGAGAGATGCGCTGGTGCCTACGACTATCACCCAAGTTCGCGCCTTTTTGGGTCTCGCTTCGTACTACCGAAGGTTCATCAAATGCTTCGCTGTGATTGCGGGACCCCTTACGAATCTGCTGCGAAAGGATCAACCGTTGATCTGGACGCCGGAGTGTGATCAAGCGTTTTCGAAACTCAAGGCCGCCCTCATTTCGGCCCCGGTCCTTATAAGGCCGGATCCCAAAATACCTTTTGTCCTTATTACTGACTGGCAGCTAGAGGCAATTTCGGCGATCCTGGCCCAGGTGGGACCAAGCGGACTAAAGAGCGTGGTGGAGTATACGTCCAAATCGGTGCCCGCTTGCAAGCGTAACTACGTCGCTCTAGCAGGAGAATGCTGCGCGGCTCTCTTGGGAATCAGTCACTTTCGAGCTTACTTATACGGCCGGAAGTTCACATTGGTAATCGATCATGAGCCTCTGCTAGCCCTAAAGAAATCTAAGGATTACTCGGGCATGATCGGGCGATGGGCCTCTGCTAGCCCTGAAGAAATCTAAGGATTACTCGGGCGTGTCCGGACATTCGCCACCGGAAATACGAAAGGCACGGGAATGCGGACGGATTGACACGACTGCACCGACCTGAGAAAGTTCCGAAGAATGAGGAGGTGATTCTGTGGAACGAGCCGAAGAAGGAGAACGGACCTCGGTACGGCCAGGTGGAGATCCTGTCAAAGGAGTAAGTGACACAGGGTCCATTTTTTATTCTGACCCCTCGGCAATTTCCCCCGCCCCCCCTTCTTTTGTCATCATGATTCATGACTACCCCACCTGTCCTTGCGACCCCCTCTTCTCCTACTAATTCTGCCCCTCTCGCCTCCTCCGCTTTCTTTGCCACCCTCCCCGAGAAATTCTGCTATTTTTGCACATGTATTGCACGAGTTTATGGGGTTGACTGTCATCCTTTCGAAACCGGGTTTGTCGATTGGGTAGAATGTGTCACGTGTGTCAATCGTGCGCACGTGGCCTGCGTTCGCTATCGGACGAGTAGCAAGGAGTGGAGGTGCCCCCTGTGTAGAACGGCCAAACTTCCCACGGAGGTTAGATTCGAGGCCGCCCGAACGGACGGACCTGAAGATGACGAGAAATACCGTCGAGCGGAGGTTTGGACGGATAAAATTTTACTAGCTAAATTAGCAGGATTATCATTGGGTCACCACACCAAACACGACAGACGTAGGGTTACCCAGAGATCTCGGGACTATCGATGGATCAACGGTCATTTGGAGAAGCATAAAATTGACGGATCGGGTTCGTGGTTGACGGTTCCTCATCCATTCCAGAGATATGATTGGACCCGATCTGCTCACGAGGAGCAGGCCGCTCATTTTGCGATACGTGTCACGGAGGCAACTATAGACCAGAAGCGATGGTTCTGGTCCAATATACGAGATGATGTCAGATACGTTGTCGCCAACTGTCTGGTCTGTGCCGCTGATCGCACCCCAATACGGGGACCAAACACGATAGTACCAGCGGAAGTAGAACGCCCCTTCCAGCGAGTCAGTATGGACACGACATATATTGACGTGCCACCTGGCCCAAACCGCTGTGAATATTCTATCCTTTTAGTATTAATAAATCATTTTTTCAAGTACATCGAGGTTTATCCTTGCAAAACCCGCAAGGCCGCCGAAATAGCCACGTACATCGATCGATTCCTCTATACCCATCTGAATACGGAAGAAATTCTGACTGACAATGGGTCCAAATTCAAAGGCGAGGTAGAGGAACTGCTTGCGCGAAGGGGCATCACGCTCCGACATACGGCACCCCACGTGTCCCAGTCGAACGGATTGGCCGAAAATGCCAACCGTATGATTAAAACCGCCCTCCGCAGGAATTTAGCGGCGCATGACACGCGTCCATGGCCAGAAATCGTGTATCAAATTGTCGGAATTCACCGGGCCACCCCTCATGAGTCCATGGGGTTCACCCCCTTTCAGCTCCGCACTAATAGCCTCCCCTGTGTCGACTACCGGGGTAATTCGAAAATTGCCGAAGCAGGGGGTAGAGACACGCGTGCCGCCCTCAAGGCCAAGGCCAAAAGGTATACCGATTTGATGGAACGGGCCGTCCCGAAGCTAGCCCGAAAAAGACAGAGGGTGACCGATCTGGCCCACGGTAGGCAGGTCCGTAGCTATGAGGCTTGAAATGGAAATGCTGGGCCCCAGCATCAATATAAATTAGGGGACCTAGTGCAGGTACGTAAATGTGCACGCGACCGAAAACTCGCTCCCAAGTTTTCTGGCCGCTTTCTCGTTGTTGAGCTCGGACCCAACGGTGCCAACACGGTGCGCATCGCGCCCGAGGCTAGTGGCAGTCGTAGCTCTGTCCCCATCGTCCGACATACCTCCTACCTCCGACCTCTCCCTCCCTCGGATCTTCCCCCTTCTTCCTCATTCGAAGGCGAGGAGAACGACGACGATCTTACTCTCTCTCCGCTCTCTCCCTCCTGCCCTTCGTCTTCCTCTCCGTCCTCGTCATGGGCTTCATCACGGAGCGGGCTCTCGATGATCAACTGTTGCAGCCACGCGGCCACATCTCAGAAATTCGGCAAGTTTGTCATCCACGGCTTAGTACGGATCTTCGGCGTCTGGCGCAGTTCTTCTGCGACGTGGGTGTGTGTGCAGCCGCCGCGTTTCGATTCGAAGGGAGTCGGCAGACAATCGTATTGGCGGAGGTGGTGACGGTACATCAGCGAGCGGTCCCCGGAACGAGCCACGTGACCACGGCCGCGGCTTTCAGCGGCGACATCAGTACAGTCAATCCACTGTGGCATACCCCGATTCTGACCTTGCTGAGAGAGTGGACGGAGCAGGTGTCCAACGTTTAGCAGCACTGTCTTGCCCGACCAGGGTACAATCTCATCCGCACTTTTGCACCTGATCTTGACAAGGTCCGCCTCTCTCCGCACGAGCCCGCGGTTGTGATCCCCACCCTCGTTGCTTTCCCACGCCCCCGATGAACTGCGTCGCCCCCCTCGCTCCTCTCTCCATCTTCGGTCTCCCCTCTCTCTTCCCTACCTTCTGGCAGTCTGATCTTCATCCTCATCTTTCCCTCTCGATCGAACCCCTTTCCGTCCCGCTTCTTAATCCCGGGCATTGGCGACTTTGGCGCGAGACCTTTGTCAAATTGTCGCTGTGTTTGGCTCGAGTGCAGGTGACGTGGACGCGGACCAGTGAGCATCCCGCGTGTCTCAAAAATCTGGAATTGCTGATCATACAAGCTTGGAGGAGTAACGTGGAGGGTGATCTCCTCGGTTTTCTCTTCGGATCGGTGCGGCCGGGACATCGCCAACTAATCGCTCAAGAGCTTATCGCGCCGATCGTACAACTGGCATACGATCTCTCCCCTGACATCGTTTCGCAAAGTGACGACACCCCCACTCCACACGTACTCACGCGAACATTGGATCCGTATCTTCTGTGGAGTGCATGCTTGGAGGAGCCTGGGGATGAAGACTATCTACCGTCGCGGCAGGAGTATCTGAAGCCATACGACATCATCGCTCACGCTTTCTATCCGAAGGAAGAGGAGGTGGTGATAGAAGAGGAGGAAAGTGACGACGACGAGGAAACATCGGAAGAAGGAAGCTATAGCGAGTATAGCGAGGGTGAGCAGAGCGAAGAAGAAGAAGAGGAAGAAGAAACCGGGTCCGAGTGGGAAGCCTTGCCGGAGGAAGCGGCGCGTACTGGCACGGAGGCGGAAGATCCTAAGGCAGCACGGAAGCGGGAAGAAGCTGCCACAAGGAAACACTAGTTGGAGTTCGCCAGCGGAGGTGACGATCCGACCAGGGATCCAGAGCAGCCGAAGCCTGAAGATGGCGACCCAGCAGCCGCCACCCCAAGCACCTCACGACGGAGACGGAGCCGATCGTCCTCCCCCTCCAGCCCCACCCGTCCCCTAGTTCTTCCACGTACCGATGCGGGGGATAGGCCTTCGTCCCCTAACCCTATCCCGCCGTCCCCTTGATTACCTCACCCTCGAGCAGATCCACATCCCCGTCACCTTCCCCCACCACCCATTCCCTACCCATCTCTTGTGTGATTTCTACTCTAAGCGCCTAAACGCTACCGTCTACCCCCACCGCTCCCTTCAGCCCGCTGCCCCCACATTCTGTCTGCATGGCCCCCACATTCTGTCTGCCCCCACATTCTGTTTAGCGCTGCGTGGGAGCAGTGCAACGTAGTAGAAGTCCACTGCGTATTCACGGGGACGATCCCCGCCTGTCGCAATTACGATCTCTTTCGCGCGACGCTCTTCCACACCCTCTCCTCCCTTTACCGTGACTATCTTGCCTCCCTCCTGCATAGCGGCGATCGATTCCCTCGCTTTCACCGGATCGTCCGCTATGAGGAACTTCCGGTGACAGTAGAAGGGATGAATCGGTACCTGCCCCCACTTCCTCCCCGTCGTCCCCGTGAACTTCCCCTCATGTATCGCATCTACTTCCTCGTTCCAACAAGGCGGTAAAGCCCAATCGCCTGACTATCCCGCTCCCTCCCTTCACCCAATCAACAGGGGGCGACGGCACGAATCAGCAGCTTTCGCGAAGATCACGCCATTGACGATGACGTCGACCTACACTCTGATTCGATCGACTGTGCAGGACAGGGGGTTGCATATGACAGGGCTGCAGTCCAAAATCACGACGAGCCAGGGTGCAGAGCACATGGAGAACCAGCGGACCATGATGGCGTCACATGGACGACCTCCGATGATGCGAGCAGCACGAGCAGATTGCAATTGAAGTTGGCGTCAACATGAACTCTGGCTCGATCGTCTGCTGATACGCTTGGTTCCTCATGCATCACTCTTCCCCCTCTTTCCTTCTCCGCCGTGACATGCAATCAACAGATCGCATAATTTTGGAATTCCCTGCGCGTCACATATGTGACGAACTACTTCCTGAACCCGTACTATCTTTCGTACACCTCTGGCTCCAAAATTTTCCGTGTATCATACCAACCCCATAAAAACCCCGTTTGTTTTCTTGATTTCAAGCACCTCGTTTGTGGCCCTCATTTGGTCGAAAACTCTTTTCAATTCTTGGAATTTTGTTTTTGCAACTCGGGAAATACATAGGAATTTACGCGCGCCTTAGCGAGCGCATTGGGAATTGGGTCCGGCAGTTGGGAATTCCGGGATAAGCGGAACTTCGACGTGTCCTTTTTGTACGTGAATGTTCTCGGTTGCGTTGGGGAAATCTCTCGGAATTTTGTGAGGATACGAATGGGCGCAGGACTTTCTTTTTTCGCGTCGTCCTTTTCGCGCGTGGATATGGTGATTTCAATTTTGAATTGGTTTAGGACATAGGCAAGCCGTAACTCTTTCGGTGCCTTTTTCATTTTCTTTCTGTTGACGGCGCCACACATGCGAAGCTTTCTTTCCTGCCTACCCCCCCCCCCCCGCTCTGTTTCCCGCATCATTCTCTCCCGCGCTCTTTCCTCCTTCCCCCTTCTCATCCTCCCTTTTCGCAACTGTTTTCTCTCTTTCTCTCCCGCTCTGATCGGTTGCGCGCCCATTTCCCTTTCTTGATCATCTGAATCTTGACCCGTCTTGCGCTACTTCTCGCGCCCTTTTTCCTTTCGCCTGACGAAAGCGACTCGGAAGCCCGGTCGATCCTTCGATTACTCTCGCCTACCAATCAGACGCGTGGTACGATAGGATCTGCCTATTGCGCGACGAACCTGATTGGCGAAGCCCAGAGTCCCGAAGGATAAACATGGCTTCCGTAGCGCGCTCCTCGCCAAGTCTTCTCCTTCTGCTTCTTTTCTTACACTTCGACTTTCCCCCTACCTTCTCTCTCCCTTGCCCCCCTTCTCGCCACTATAAATTCCTCAAACGCGCCCGCAAATCTCTCTTATGTTCTCGACTCCCAAGCCAGCTTCCGGGAAGCAGTGGCTAGGCAGAGTGTTTGGTGCGAGTCGGAAAGTCCTGTCGGGCTGACGATAGGCTGGCCGGTTGCGCGCTTGATCGCCACAACGGACTGTGGGATCTAGGCGAACCGCGTCGAGTTTACGTCGGCGGGGTGACGATCGCAGTGGTGGGAGTTAGCACGCGACGACCGGGAACGTCGGTGCGGGTATGAGGATCGATGATTGGAGTTGAGTGAGTGATTGGCCCGGGGCCATATTGGAATTCACGGCAAATGCGCCTTTCTTGTTGCGGATCTTTATCTCTGGCGTGAGTGTACGGCGGTAACGCCGAACTTCCTTTTTTGGATCTTGTCGTCTCCTATTTTGATCTTCCTCTCTCTCTTTCTCTCTCTCTCTCTCTCTCTCTCTCTCTCTCTCTCTCTCTCTCTCTCTCTCTCTCTCTCTCTCTCTCTCTCTCTTCTATTTTTGAATGGCGATGCGTTGTGATGCTTGTCCCTCTTGTGAATGGGAATGAATTTGTGTGCTCTCTTGTATGAAAAAACTTCTTCCGGAACTCTTCTATTAGTTTCCTGGGTAATCCCTGGATGTCGAGGGATTGATCCTCTTGTCTTGTGAACGGTGGATACGTGTGTACAATTCCTTCGGTTGATTTCCGACTCATTTTCGCACCTTCCACAGTGAATGTATGTATGGAGATGCTTGCCTTTTTGTATTGATTAGGCGCCGCACTCGGCGGGATCTTGTTTGAGAATGCAAGAGTGTTTAGATTTGTAGCTCTGAGTGCACTGCGCATGCCATCTGCATTATGCTGCACGACATCTGCAACTAATCTACAGGGCAACCTCGAGAAATTAGGCGTTTGGGATCAACACCGCGGTGGCTTACAAAACCTGAGTCACGGGTCGATCCCTCAGTTACATGCATGATCAAGTTGACGAGTGTTTTCTCTCTCTCTCGTGTCAAAAAGGATTGATTGGTGATTGCGCGAGTATTTTTCCTTGATGACGTCTCGGAATGTTTGCAATTGATTGACATGTGGACTGACAAGCACCCTTCGATCGGGCGTCAGCCTCCCGTATCTCCCGTATCAACACGACCTTTTCCCTACAACGAGGAAAGGACACGTGTATGGGAGTGGGACGTACGAGAAGCTGTCGCACAGATTGGCGGACGATACTACTTCCCTCCGGCAAATTGTTGTTCAGGGTTCGTAGAGGCCAGGTTTGTCATTATCGATACACACTTTCCACCTTATTCGATATTGTTGCCATTTAACGAGTTGATCGTCATCCCGTGGACGGCAGTGGAACCCCACTGGCCTCGCACTCTGTGAACCGAGTGCCAGCGCCTTGAGCGCTACGAATCCAAGGGTTTCCACTACCGCGTACGGAGTGAGGACGAACACAGAGAAAGAGCCACCCGACTGCGACCCTCCACGTCGGACTCAGAACTGATTGGTGAACGACGTCGAGACTTAATACGAAGACGAGACACGCAAAGCGTGCCGAAACCTTTTCGCTCTAAACGAAGGGCCGTAGCACGGTGGGAAGTCCGACAATACTTTTTGGATTGAATTTGTATTTCTTTCTCCTTTCGCGCTGAACTCTCGCGCGCGTTTTACGACGCGCGAAAAATCAATTGGCTTACTTCATTGGACCAACACGGGGGATTTCAGTTCCGTCTGTGTCCCCACACTCAATTTCCAGAAATCCTTGGCACACCCCATCTTGCTGTTTTTCCGGGCGTCTTTTCCGCATCTATAGCACTCCGAACGTGAGGTTGCACGTCACACGATCGTCGTTGATGGTGGGCATGGCAAAGTAATCCTCCATTGCTACCTACCACTCATCGAATCTGCTCCTAAACCGGACTGGGACCAGGGGGCTGACTTGGCCTGACTGGTTTGATGGTTTTTTGGTCCGTCCTCGCTGTCTCAGTGATGGTGGGGGCTGTGTTCTCAACGATTTTCTAGATAGAGATTAACTTATTTTCGTGTCCTTTCGTGTAATCTGCGTTCTGCTCAAACATATGTTTTGTTTGTGCTGCAATCGTCGCGATTTCTTGTGTGATTTGTCTTTGCTCACTTTTTTGACCTTTGGTGTCGTTTGACAGTCTCTTGGGTTTCTTTTCTCAGCCCTTGGATGGTTTCCAGTTCGTCAGGGCTATGCCTCTGATTGAGTCTCTCGGTGTCTATGTTTTTTGTCCCGCGTCCGAGTCTGAGGAGCTTGCTTCCCTTTCCCTCTTCTTTTCGTGATATCTAAATGCTCTGAATTTCGACAGTTCGCTCTTTTGCCACAGCAGCATATCAAAAGAATTTTTGCATTGTGGGATGTTTGCCACATCAGATTTGCCTGTGACGGATTTGCCTGTTTTCTCCATGTGTTTCATACTGAATCATACATCCCACTCAGGTGTTAAATTCTTTCTCTCTTTTGTACTTGGACTTTTCCAGATATTTTCTCAGCCATGGGATGGGGGACGTCTCTTTGTCTTTGGATTTGCTGTCTGGATCATAAGCCCTATGGGCATAAGTCTTTCGTATTTCAAAACTATCGGACTTTTATATCTTTGGATTTCTCACATAACAATCTTCCTAATTTTCAGTCTAATCGTCAAATGTTAATCTCTGATGGATTCCTGATTAAATCCTTGATTTCATTGGTATATTTTTGTGCTGATTAAATTTCTGAATGGGGATTTCTTAGTTGCGGGTTTCAGTTTTGAATCCTGAAATTTTTATCGAATTACATAGCTTTGAGAATGTGAGTCTGAGTAAGATCTAAATACGATACGAGGAATGATCAACTCCCTAAGTAAGATCTAAGTATGAATCTGTACGATCGAAGTACATAACTGAAATGTTGGCTTAGCTGTCGTGAGTCTTTGCCGGAAGGAGGTAACGGGAAGGTTGGTTGATGAGATGATGAACAACGACAAGATTTCCCCAGGCAACGACGATACGGTTGGCCCAAGCCTGTCGGAG